TTATTATACTATTTTCTTTTTAACCTTATAGTGTGGTGTTACAAATTTTGTTTCCATGTTAGATTATCATTCTAAACCAACGGTTCCTTTCATACATACACTAATTCTTAAAGAAATAATTCTTATCATTTCATTAATTTGAAATGTGTTAGGAAAAAAATTCCACTTAGAGCTCTGTGTAGATTTGTGCCCATCTGTACCCACAATGTACACATAAAATGGTCACATTCCCCAGCTAGCCATTTAGTTCAAAAGCTCAAAGGCTAGAAATGATTTAAAAAATGCAACAGCTATTAACTAGGAATTGTCTTTGGAATTAGGGCTGGCATTTTCAATCTGGGCAGATTTCCATTGTCGGCCTATTTCAACAGTGATTTCACTGAAGTATATTCAAAAGTAGATTTCTTATACAAGACTCTCTGAAAGCTGTCGCCTTTCTCCAATAGGTCCTCTCCCTTTCCTCTCTCCCTCCCCTTTGCACAAGAGGCATCATTTCCCATTGAACCACTACAGCTGTTCCCATTTGAATCTCGCTTTCTGTGCGGTGGTGGATGGTTGGAGGGTGGAGGGGGGATGTTGCATGTCAAGGAATAATGAGCACACACACATCAACAGACAACAACAAAGCGGACTGTGACTGGCCGATGGGAGCGAAAGGCCTTCAGTCATTGGCAGCTGAAGCCAAACATTCCCAAATCTATGAAGCAGGGCCTATTGTCGGTCAGTTGTTATTTGCAATGAAGCACAGATCTGATCATGTTTAAAGTGGCAGCATGCAGGGCAGGAGTGCTTGAGCCCCAGCGAAGGAGGGGAAAAAAATAAGCCTTTGTTGGGTGAAAAGGGGCCCGTCTGAGACTTTTATTTCTGTCTGTTCTGTGCAACATATAAGTCAATATAGATAAGTTCTCTTCTGCCAAGTTCAGTCGGAGGCTGGGGCTGCTGGCCGACTCCATGAAATGCTTGCACAGGCAGAAAGCTCTGGGGACAAAGACACTTCCACTGAATTGTACTCTGCTCTTTTGTTTTGTTTTGTTTTGAATCCCCAAAGGCAAATGGTCAGAAATATAGAAATTAATTGGAGGCTTTAAGAAAGAGCCTTCTAGTTCACCATCCACTCTTTTCTGGCGAAGGGCTTACTTGGGGACAGATAGCTGTGATTCATCTCTGTGGCATGCCAGGTGTTAATCATTGTATTCCACCAGAGTTGCTGCACGTTTAGAGACAACTTCCTCGGTTGATCGCGGTTTTTAGATGTGTGTGCATGTCGGTGGATTCAGTGTCAGCCTTCGCTGTACGCTTGCACGCTTCTGCAGTGCGCACACGGGCGCTCGGTCGGCGCACTTGCCCGCGCAGATACTTCCACCTCCTGACATTTTGCAGCCTCGATTCCCTGAGGGACGTGTGCCCAGGGCACTGTCAGAGAAGGGCTGTGTGGTGCGTGCTGCAGCTGCTGGCTGGCTCACTTCTTCCCTGCAAAGGAGGGACACTTTCCAACTGGCTCCGACGTGGGCCAGGGTCAGGCAGCCAGGCCTGGCCACGGCTCCGTGGTGCAGAGAGCACAGACTTCAGAGCCCTGGGTGCGGCTCTCTGGGTGCTTGGAGCCGCGGATGGGAGAAGGGGGGGGGTGGAGCGCTGTGTGCGGAGGGTCCGTGTGTGCGCACGCGCGCTTGGGCACGGATCCGTGTCCTCCGAGGGTCAGGGCTGCCAGGGCGCCGCGGCACAGCCTGGTTTCGTCTGAAGCAGCGGAGGCTCAGCTGCAGAAGCTCCCGGGTCCAGCAGGACAGAGCGGCTGCCTTGCCTTCTGCCCTCACCCCAGGGAGATGAGCCGTCCTTCCGAGTGGTGCTCCAGGCGCTCCCCCGGGGCCAGCATGTGGAAGCAGGGCTCCGGAGGTGGCCTTTTACTCGTCGTTGAAAGAATTCATTTTTATTTACTGATAGGTATATTTATATAATTTATCCATGGGAACGCTGCAGGGATGCCCTGATGCCATCTTCCAGGATGGTGCCCATCTACCTACCTGTGCTGTCCTCAGTAGAATCCCAAGGCTCACAGCCTATGATTTTTCTCTCAACTTGACCGACTTAGGAAGAGCAGGTGAACAGAATTAGAGCTGAGTGTCTGAATAGGAAACATTCAAATTACTTTGAGTAAAAAACTGCTTTTTACTACAACGAGTTTCCAGAATATTCCTCCCCCAAAGCTGGTAAACAACTGGCTTCTTGATGTGGCTCACAATCATTTCTGCCTACCCTTCCCCCCCATCAGACCTAGGTTTCCTCAAATTCACTTACACAGTAGTAAGATTTAGCTTTGTTTTGTGAATTTTTGCCATCTTGGCACGGTGTCTATATTCTCCTGCTTATTTCTTTTTGCACTGGGCCTTAATGTTAACAAGATTAAAAAAAATGCTTTTCTTCTCTCTATAATGTTTGGCTCACCAAGGCCAAGCACCAATGCTTCCCTTTTCTGTTTCTCAAGCAAAAACCTCATCTGTAGCGTTTTTTGTTTGTTTTTATTTTTTGCCTGGTCCTGAAATGATTTCACTGCTCATTTTTAAAGTTCAAAGTGCAAGTGCTTAGGGTTAGTATTAAAGTTTGATGGTGCTGATGGTGACTATCTTTGGAAAGCATTAAGAGGATGTTTTAGAAATGACATTCATAATGGACTCTAAACAAATGAATAGGGGTTCCCCTCCTTCCCTTTTGTATGTGTATGCGTGTGTCTGATTCTTTAAAATTGATAGACAGGGAATTGATTGCATGAAGAGTGTTGCTTCCTTTTGAAGTGTTTTGTTTGTTTGTTTGTTTTTTTTGGCTAATGTTAGTATTTGCAGATCTTGGAGGTAGAGATAAAAAATAAATGGAAGAGGAGGAAGAGAAAAGTGGAAATCTCCTGGTGGCTACTAGAAAGAAATTCGGGTTTTAGAACCTCAGCACCTGAGAGCAGGGTGCGGTAGTCAAAATATTTACCTCATGTTAAAGAAAGGCAAATCTAGTGTAAGAAATGAATACTAGATAGGGTTATGAAGTTTTAGAAACATTTAAAAGATAGGACATTTCAAGTACTATGTTTGGCACTGTTACTTAAATATTTATATCTTTGAGACAAGTTGATGATTGAAAAAAAATCTGTTAATGGAGTTCATAATGTATCAAAATGGTCTGTATACCTACTGTAGCTTTACTGAAGACCAGTATTTTTGGGTAGTAAGTTATTAGCAAATGGATAATTGATAATGTTTCCAGAAGAAAGGAAAACACATTTTTAGAGTGGGTTTTTATCAGAGGAAAGCAAAAATATATATCCCTCTGTAGCTTATTTTTGCAAAGCCTGCCTAGAGAATCAGAACAACAAAGCACTTGGATCTGCGTTTTGGAAAGCCCAGCTACGATTATTGTTCAACATGCACTTTTACTGAGTTTGAAAAGTTTCTTTTATATTTAAAATAATGGTTCAAATATGCACATTCAATTTTTATAGTATTTATCTATTTGCAAAGCATATATTAACTAGTAATTGGGTGTTAATTTTATAGACATGGTAGCCAGGGTAGTAAATCAATGACCTATTAAGTATTTTTGACAAGCAATTTACATATCTGATGACCTCACATTTCCTTTTCAGAGTCCAATGCTATATAATTGTTCCATTGTGTGTTCGTATAAAATGAATCACAACATGGTAAGAAAAAGGTTACTTATTAAAATAATAATCCAACTAAAATATTCATTTAAATTTATTCAAATTGTTCATAATGCTTTCAAAGGACATAGCAAAGCTTTTGTGGCGTATCTGCACATTATTTATTATCTATGGACTAAATTGATTTTTTTAAGTTGCTTTAAATTTTAAAAGCACCTTTGCTTAATATAAAAGCCCTTTAATTTTAACTGACAGATCAATTCTGAAACTTTATTTTGAAAAGAAAATGGGGAAGAATTTGTGTCTTTTGAATTAAAAGAATTGAAAAAAAATAAACCAGACATTCTAAAAAAATAGAAGAAACCTGATTTTTAGTACTAATAAAATAGCGGGTGACAAAATAGTTGTCTTTTTGATTTTGATCACAAAAAATAAACTGGTGGTGATAGGATATGATGGAGAGATTTGACATCCTGGCGAATCACTGTCATTGATTCAATTATTCTAATTCTGAATAAAACCTGTATACAGTGTGTGTTTATGCTACAGTGGGTTTTTTTTTTTTTTAAGTGACTGACATTCATCATGTTGGTTAGACAGTTTTAAAAACCTAGTCTTTGTTTTCTACAATGTTGTCAAGAAAAAATAAAGTATAATTTGTGGTGTATTACAAGCAAACTGCTTAAAAATGCTAGTTATAACTGCTTCAAAATTTATTCTAACATCACTGAAGATGCATTTTAGAAATTCAGTTTCTCCTAATGGACGTTAAGCAGCTTTTTAAAAATTGAGATTCTTTACTTAAATGCAAGTTATTTTCTAACCTTCACTTTTTGCCTATTTGTCAAAAGCTTTGAGAATATGGAACTGTGATTCAAAAACCTAGTGTTTTATATGAAAACTGGTTCCATGTGCTAACTACCCCCCAAATACATGTCTATATGGTTATAAATGTGCATACCCAACCAACGTTCTTGATTCACAAAGGGCTTACCTGATGCAATGGAAATCTGAGTTAGTTTCAGTTTGCTACTTTGTCTCAGACCTATGTTCTGTAAAAATCTCTCACCAAGCTTCAATACATGCTTTCCCCTAGTGTTAATGTAGCTGTCAGTTTGAATTTCAATCCTGAATTATGTCTGCTGACGTAATTTCATAGTGCTGACTTCAATTGTTTAGGATTACTAAACAGAAGACCATCAACTTCTTTTTCTATGCTTTCTGTCACTCAAGTTCTTTAGATTTATTAACTACTATGGTAGACTACTGATCTTTAATGGACTCTTAATCCCAAAATATTATCTTGTGTTCATCAATTTAATAACAGGATGCAAAAATGCAAATTCATTTTATTATAGTCTTCACATATATTAGCAAATGAATTTTTCATTTTTAAAAAACATCTTAGCATTTTTTGGTGGCAAGTGACTTTTTCAGAAATAAAGAGAAAATGTTTTTCATATGCAATTATGAATTTTATACTGTTTTATATGCTACCTGCTGTAATATGCACTTAACATGGACTAAGTGCCTTAATATAGGTATACTAATGACCATTGTGAGGCACTTTGAGTTTCTGACATTTTATTCAAAAATAAAATTACCTGCTTTCTCTAAATAAAGCAGAAAACAAAATTTTAAAATGAAAGTAGTTTTGCTGTACTCTTTCTGCATAAAAAGTTGGGTAAGGAAAATGAAGAGCGGTGGCCTCATTTTGCAATCCTAACTGTTCTTCAAGGATTGGAGGGTCAAATTGTTAAGAAAAATATTTACAGAAGCTATTAGCAATCATAATTAGGGTGTCATATAATTCTGCATGCAACGACTAAGGAGGAACCGCTAGAAGTCCAGGTGCTGCTTGCCTCCGGCCATCATGCCACAGCCTGGGCCCAGCAGCTTGGAGGATTCTGCCAGATCCTGTTTGCTTGAGCGGCTCACTGTGTCTGACAAGTCTGGAGGCAAATGCAGTCGCTGTGGCAGAAGATTTCGGAAGGAAAGAAAGAAGAAAAAAAATAATTTTGCTTTAGCTAGCACACTTCAGAATACAATATTATGCTCTGTTGATCAGCATTTAGTCTTGCAGATGAAATTCCTGCTAAAACAGTTCTTCAGACCGAGACCCAAGATAATCACATCTTCTTCCTACTAGGGTTTACAAATGCTAGCCATCGCAGACACTGGACCAGGGATCTTAGTGGAATGTTTCCAGAGTCCAAACCTAAACACATTAAGATTTCTCCTCTTTAGGTCAAAATGAAAATATGTAAATGCACAAATAAAGGCATACTTGAGAAAGAACACTATTGTAATAATGGCGGGGTTGTTTGTTGGCTTTGCTTTGTTTTTGCCAGGGCTCCAAAATGCTATTTTTAAATTGAATGTAGCTTTTCAGCAATTATGGATTCCTCCAAATGCTTGTTTCCCTTTTATTAAGTTGACCTGATGATTCTATTTCAAGGCTATACTTTCTTTAGGAACTTACATTTTTTTTTGTAGAAATATTGACATAATGAAAAAAAAAGATACCAGTCATAGGATCAAAAATTTTATATCCTCAGATAAGTCAGCTATGACATCTGTTTCAGGTCTTGGTAAGTTTGTTTCTATGCATAACGTTGGTCATATTTTCAAAAGTATAGTGTAGCTCTGAACATCTCCCCTATCTTAACTTTTTCTGCAGATTCAAGGAGGCTGATTCAAGCAGATGCACGAACTGACCATAAGTGCACAACAGTTACTGTAATTAGGGAGAAATATTCATATTTCAAAAGAACTTTTTTGGTTCTCAAAAGGATCTCTATCAAATTCCTTTTAACAACAGTGCCCCCAGCCTATACAATTTTCACAAAAATCCAAACTCAAAGGAACGTGTCTGTTGCGTGAGGCACAGAGTGGGGGTGCGACGCTAAAGATAAGTGAGGTAGGATGGGGGTGTCCCCTGATGACTAGCCAAAGCCTTGCAGGAGTGAACTGACCTGGAGACAACCTATCTGAAACCCTTCATCTGGAAAACTCCCTACAATATGAAAAAAAAAAAAAGATGAAAAAGGTAGAAACACTTTTTTTTTTTTTTTTGGTCAAAATACTATGATCCATCAGCATATGTTCTGGAGAGTTTCTTTCCTGATAAAAGGCTTCTTTAGTGCTCTGTAAACACAAGCTGTGTGCAGAGGATCAAAATATTTTAAAACCTTAAAAAAATTTACGACAATATTCTTTGACTTCAGTTTGCAGGTACTTAGTTTTTAATGCAAATATACCTAGGATGGAAGACACTATTATGGACCTATGACCAACAAAGATGTCAGAAAGGTCAAGAAAACACTGTCATATCCATATAGTAATATCCACATAGTAACACTCATTTGTATCCATAGCACCCAACCTGTCATATATCAAATAACTAAATGTCTATTTCTTGAATGATTTTTAAAAAGTCAAATAAAGACATACTTGTTTCTTTGTTTTATTTTTTTTTCTTTCATTTCTTCATAGCCTGGTTCCCCTCCCCACCCCCTGAAAGTATTTCAGGCAGAAATGAAAGCAGGAAAGGCTCAAGAATCTAAAAGACATGCATGACTCTAAAGTCTGAGGTTATGAATGTCTTTGCAGTGTTAACTCTTATCAGTGTTCATGGGAGGAAACTGGAGGGAAAGAGATATTTAATTATATGTTTGAACTTTAATGTTCCTTAAAGATCCTGTAGTTATTGCTAATAACTAGGATACATGCATGATCTGAAGGTTATCTGAAATGTAAAGAAAATTCACCATAAAAAAACGTGTGTGTGTATACTTTTGGTGGGGACCTCATAAAGATTATGTCAGATGGTGATTAGACTATTTAGGAAATCAACTGGACTCAACAAATACATAGAATCTACTCAAAGCAAGGTGAACAGAGCACCTTCCCCATTACTTCTAACTCCAGGAGCATGAGTAAGACAAGCACAGTGGTAACCATCAGAGTGAGCCCTCCAAGTGATGTCTGCAAGAAAGGAGAGACAAAGCCGAAATCGGGTGGGGGAAGGGGAGGAGAAAGCTTCATGGAGATGGGCGAGGTGTTAAATAATGAATTGATTCTGACATGTAGAGATGGTGATTTGCTTAACAGGGGAGCTGATACATGCATCTTTAAGATGCGTTCGGGTGAAGGGTCATACTGTTTGGATAATCTAAATGAGGAAGCTAGTGTAGCTGTTCAGAACCAGCATAAAACAATTTATTTCAGGAGCTTACCTATTTGCTACAAATTTCTCTTCCTCTGCTTCTCTAGGCAATGAACGTGAGCCAGTTGGCTGAAAGCCCTTCATAGCAAAAGTAGCTAAATGTGACGTGTGACATGCTTGGAAATCTTTCAGGTTGAATGGGTTTGAAGAAAAGTCAAATATCATTCGTGTGTAACTTCTGAGCACAAAAATTTTGGTTGATATGGTTAAATGCTTCTAACCAAATGCTACATGGTAAACGCTAGTTTGCATACTTATGTCCTTTGAAAAAGCCCAAGGATGGCTCTTGGAACTATGTGAGTGATTTTGCCAGCTCTGTTGATCGTTACTTGAATGAGCTTACTCTGCACTCTAAATTCTCAAGCCGTGGGTTTTGTTCTCTTCCTTTCTGAGCCTCCCCCTGTGCACCATGTCAGTGCAATGTGAGCAGCGAGGAAGAAGGAGAGATCAGGTTCCAGGCTTGCCAGGTGTGTCAGGGACTTTTCCTTTGAGGCTTCCAAAGCATTTACACATTTGACATGTAAATGGTCAGATGCTGCTGTACCCCAGATCTGTCTTCTGAAAAAATATGCTGTAAGAGACTCTGCATAGCATGTGACCTCCTTTCGATCAAAGCTGCAAGGCTGAGGGGACATACCAACTTTTAGACCTTGAGGTTTCACTGAGTAATGGTTTAAATAAAAATCAGACTATTAAAAAAACACCATACCATTTTCAACCTTGGAAACCAAATCAAGGTCGTCACCTTTCTCATTTTGTACCTGGAGTTTTGAGCGAGGGCCCAAAACTTATATCTTGAGTGGAAATTTTTCCCACCCGATTTTCTTTTCCCAGATTCTGGGAGGAAGAGACTGTGTGGCTAATGCAGGAGATGCATCTCTGGCTGTCTGCCTATTTTTTCTATTAATGCCTTGTCTAAAATGATGCTTTCTGTGTAGGCAAAGGGATTTGAGAAACACATGACAACTCCCAGTTTCTCACCGAGGCCTAGGTGATTTGCAGTGATCCCACTGGATTAATGGGTCTCTCCTCTCTGGTGCTGCAAGGTGGGAAACAGCGGGGCTGCCAAAGTACTCTGGCAGATTAGGGGAGCTCCTGCCAAAAGGCACCCTTAGGCCCCTAGGAAGCCCTGGGTCAGAATAAAGCAACAGCAGCAGGAGTGCTTTGCTCCGCAGCTCCGTGGGGTACCAAGCCCAGCCAGACTTTGAGATTCTTCCCCCTCTGCTTACATCTCTGTCTCTTTGTTCCTTCTTGAGTCAGCAACTAAGTGGGTCCTATAGACACACAGGATTGGATTTCCTGGCTCCACAGTTTCTCTTCCTAATTCCTTTCTCCCTGCCTGCCAGCCCCGTGCTCAGCACTTACAGCTCCCAGACAGAAGGGGCAAGATAATGAATCTAGATTACACCTGGATTTGAGACAAATTGCAGGTAAATACCCATTAAAGTAAGTTCAATCAATTTATATTTTTCATATTTTGCCAAGACCAAACCACCAGGCACTGTTTGTTTTCTGTTTGATGTAGTACATTTTAACCCTTCCCAGATGAAGAGAGAGTTGTTTTAATCCTTTTTATGTTTTGACATTTCCTGAACAGTCATACTTTGCATTAATCAGATTCACAGAAATCAGTGTTAATGTTTCAAAATACTTTCTAATAGATTTTTCTTCTGTTCTTTAAAACACAGCCATTTTATTTTATTTTTTGTTTAAGATTTTATTTTTAAGTAATCTCTACACTTGGTGTGGGGCTCGAACTTACAACCCCGAGATCGAGAGACTCATGCTCTACCAACTGGGCCAGCCAGGTGCTCCCATAGCCAATTTAAATGAAAACTTGTAAACACCTTAGAACATATAGGCTCTACACTGGTCACTTAACAGAGGCAGCCAGTGAAAGTCTGATATGTCTGTCCGTCTGTCACTCCCTCTCAGTGACGTTGGACAAATCAGTTTTCCTGTGTGAGTCTCAGCGTGTCCTCATCTATCACTGGGGGGTGATTCTCCCTTCATGAGACTGCTGTCAGGATCAAATGACATGTATAAGTAGCCTCTGAAGTATCAAGTAGTACACTAATTTATTTATATCTCTTCTTGCTCCAAAAAAGTTGAGATGGCTTATAAAAATACATATGGTTCAACCAGATAAAAATAAGTGAGTTGATTAAGGCAAGGAAACAATTCTACAAATGTAATAAACTATACATAATTATAAGCAACAATAACAGGCTATCAGACTTAGCCAGTCTCAGTCACTACGCTGGTTTCTGAGCACTGAGTGTACATTGCCCTCTACTGTGGCCCAGTAAAGAAACCAAAAAGGAAACTGCGATCACGGTCCTGGTTTCTGGAAAGATTTAAAAAGTCTAAACTGTTTCCCTCATACTTAGGAACGCGTAGCGAAAATGGGGCATGTCAGATGCCTAGCTTCTAGACCAGTGAAAATATGCATGGATGTACTGCACAGGCAATGTGGGGTCCACCTTCTTTTAAAAAAATCTGTCTTTTGCATATGTCTTCACTGCTGACAAAAGAATAAAGGACATGTCAGAAGACGAAGCTTCTCTACTTGAGTCTTAAAAGCATTTCCCCCTCTTTACATGACGAAGAGAAAAAACAAATTAACAACAGACACGCCATCTCGTTCCATTCCAGATTCTTTCAAGAGCCATGTGATGCCCTTGCCTGGAAGATGACTTGCTGATTTCTGAAGCCATATTCTGGTTATGAGGCACTGCTATGA